ATCTGTATATTGGGCTATAGAAGGAAATGGCAAACCACTCCAGTATCTTTGCCAAGAAAACCCCAGATGTGGTCATAAAGAGTCAGACATGCCTGAAAAAACAAATGAACAATGACAAAAATCTAGAAGTGAAAGCAGTAGTAATGAGTATACAAAGTTCATCAAGATCATTCCATACTGACATTATGTTCTTTTTTGACAGCATTACTAAATTGGTAGATGAAAATGAAAGTTACAGAAAAGATACCATTAGCCCTAGAGTAATCTTTTTTTTGTTAGGTTTTTTTTTTTGCTTTTCGCTAGGCAATTGGGGTTAAGTGACTTGCCCAGAGTCACACAGAGAGTACTTACTTCGTGTTTTGTGTCTGGGATTGGATTTGAACTCAGGTTCTTCAAGGCCAGAGCTCTATCCACTGTGCCACCTAGCTGCCCCGAAATCTGTTTTTCAGAAGGGTACACACCATCAACATTAATAAGAATCTTTGGGGCTCCATTTGATATTTTTGCATTTCTACCATCCAAATAACTCTTTGTTTAGCTCCAGAGTTGAAAGCCACTCCTTCCTAAGACAGATGTGAGCTAGAACAGTAGTGCTGAACTCAAAATTAACTGGGGCAATTAAACTGTACATGAGCATCCTTATAGGCCACATATTGACTTTAAAAACCACATATTAATGTTTTATTGTATTTTTATTTATTTTTAAAAATATTTCCCAATTACATTTTAAATTATAATAATGAGGCTGATGATAGCAATGATGTGTGCTAGGCTGGCCTCACTCAGGATTTTTGTGGGTTGCATGTGTTGATACCTCTGGGCTAGACAATAGCACAGTTTGGTGAATTTGGAACTGGTGAAGTAGACAGACTGAAAGAATTGTCATTAATAGCTCAATGTCAATTTGGAAGGCTATCTTTGGGAATCTGGGGCTGGCCCTGTGCTATTTATTTTTATCAGTGACTTGAAGAAGTTATTTATGTTATCAAATTGGTTGATAACAAAATATTGGGATAATTAACAACATCTTAACCTGGCTTGAATATCAGGCTGAATCTAATAAGGTCAAATTTAATAGTGGTAAACATAAAGTCTTAAACTTGGCTTAAAAAAATCAACTTCAGAAGTCCAGGATAGGGGGGAAAGCCAGAGGTTTTAAAAGACTAAAGGCTCACTTTTAGTCAACAGTGTAGTTTTGTGACCCCAAAAGTTAACCTTAGTTTTAGGCTGTATTAAGAAAGGGATAGCTTTAAGAAATAAAGACAAGACAATCCAGTTTTACTCTGTTCTAGTAGTCAGTCAGTCAATAAGCATTTAATTAAGCACCCAGTTGGTAAGGTAAGCCCAGAGGACACTAAGAACTTTGTAGCAGAAAGATATCCAGTGATCCAATAAAGTAGTAAATTTCTGGACAAGGGAAGTGTTCAACATGAGACTGCATGAACATTTGTCTTGGATACAGCAAAGGGATTCAGCTACTATTTAAGGGATTCAACTAGATTATTTCTAAAAACCAAAACTGATTCTAGGTTATATTTCTTGGTTCACTGGTTTTTACAAGTTGAGAGGTAGAACAGATGGGAGTTTTTAAAAAACCTCCTACTGGGTTATAAGTTACAGGGGTGAAGAGAAGCAAATAATGAGAATTCATTTGTACAGTGCTTTAAAGTTTGCAAAGTACTTTTCACAAGGAGAGAGTTTATCAAGAAAGTCTTTATTACCAGGGTGAGACTTTGATTGTGACTTTGGTTATGTCTACTTGATGAGATTTAAATGATTCCACAAGTACCCCAGGCCAGAGTCCGGGCCTCTAGCCACTCCCAACATTCAGAGAAATCTCTATTGGATAATAATACAAGTATTATTATCTGCCTTTGGTAAGTGAGGAAACTAGGAATTGAAAATTGACTTGCTCTTGGTCACGCTGAAATAAAATAAAATCCAACTCCACTGACTTAAAATCCTGCTGTTGTTCAGTCGTGTCCAAGTTTTCATGACCCCATTTGGGGTTTTCTTTTTCTATTTTCTTTTTTAAGCAATTGGGGTTAAGTGACTTGCCCAGGGTCACACAGCTAGTAAGTGTCAAGTGTTTGGTCTGAGGCCAGATTTGCACTCAAGTACTCCTGACTTCAGGGCTGGTGCTCTATCCACTACGCCACCAAGCTGCCCCTATTTGGGGTTTTCTTGACAAAGATACTGGAATGGCCTATTCCAGTTCATTTTACAGATGAGGAAACTGAGACAAACAGGATGAAGTGACTTGTCCACGGTCACACAGCTAGTAAGTTTTTGAGGCCAGATTTGAACTCAGAAAGATGAGTCTCCTGGACTTCAGGCCTGGCACTCTATTCACTTCAAATCCTACATAACACATTATGTCAATAGAAAACTTCATCACCTACTCAAGTTATGCTAATAAATTATGCTACTCAAATTATGCTAATAAAAAATGTAAAAACATAGGTTATATTTTACAACAGTAGAATAGAATGCATTTCATGAGGGGCCCTAGCCATGTTCACTTAGCTCCCTGTTCAAATCACTGTTCTATCTCCTTACCAGCAGCCTAGCCTTGCCATGGCACCCTCCTCTTCTTTCTCCTCCCCCTCCCCCACCCTTTCCAGTTCTCCTTTGTGTTTTGTTCTCCATTGTTAGAATGTAAGGTCCTTGAGAGTTGGGACCATCTTGTTTTCTCATATTTGTATTCCTAGCACTTAGCTCAGTAACTGGCATACAGTTTTAGCCCTTAATAAATGCTTTATCTATCTATCTACAATCCTCCACAAGAGTCCTAAACCTATTGTCTCATCATATATGGAAAGGACTCTGAGTTCTTAAAATTTATAGTAGTGGAATACAAGCTCTGTCAGGTTTTAGCCATGCCAGAGAGGCTTAGAGTATTGTATATAGTCTCCCTGAAAGACTGAGTGGGCTGTATTTCTGGACCAATTTATCTAAATATGGAAAAGCAACAACAACAACAGAACAGTAAGAATAGCCTACATTTACACAATGTTTTGAAGATTTCAAATGATCTCGCTTAAATTATCTCACTTGATTCTCAAAACAACTTAGTGAGGTAAGTGCTCTTATTATCCCCAATTTACCCATAAGAAAAATAAAGTTGAAAATGGTTAAGGGCTGTGCAAATTCTCAGCTGGGGCAACTAGGAGGGGCGGTGGATAGAACGCCAGGCCCAGAGTTAGGAAGCCTCATCTTTCTGACTTCAAATCTGGCCTCGGACACTTACTAGTTGTGTGACTCTGGCCAAGTCTCTTCACCCTGTTTGCTTCAGTTTCCTCATCTGTAAAATTAGCTGGAGCACAAAATGGCAGACCAGTCCGATATCTTTGCAAACAAAACCCCAAATGCAGTCATGAAAAGTCAAACATGACTGAAAACAGCTGAACAAAAATTCCCCAATGTAATCCAGCCAGCTCTCTGTTTCATTTAATTATGAACAAAATTCATGGTCTATCTACAGCATCTTTCTAAGATATGTGATAGAATAACCCAATAGGCTGTCCATCCAACTGCATATAATAATCTGGAAAGTTAATTCACTTAGTCCAGTATTCCTTTCCTGATGCTCTGAGCTAGAATTGATCTTCTAAACCAGGGGTTCTTAAACCTTTTTGTGTCATGGATCCTTTTCTCAGCCCGATGAAACCTATGGATCCCTTCTCAGAATGTTTTTAAATGCATCAAACAAAATATGTAGGATTACAAAGAAAACTAATTATATAATATATATCACATGTTGTATGTGTTATATATCATTTATAGTTATATTGAAAGAGTAACAATATTGAAATAATAATATTGAAATAGTTATAAAAATATATGCTTATTTAAAACAATCTCAGAGACCCCTAGTTAGGAATCCTACTCTGAACATCTTTGTATTGTATCTTACTTTCTTCCTCAATCCCACAAAAGGCACTTTGTAAAAGAGGTTAGAATAAGAAAGCATCAACTTAGAGTTGTAATTTACATAGGATTGTTAGATTTTAGTTTGGAGAATTTGCCATGTTCCAAGATGACAAATAGAGGATTGTGTCCTAATTGTAGTCACATTCCTTCACTAGCTCAAGTGAAATATAAAACCACAGTTGGAAACAGGAGGCCCTAAAATAGAGGAGCCACTCTCCCCATGGCTAGCATATCTGGCAATCCTAATACTAGTAAGTCTATTTGCCAAATCACTGAATTCATCAAGCTGCAGAAACTGGGGTCCAGAGCAGCTGTTTCTACACTTAATTTGAAAATATCTCAGAAAATTGTGCTTTCACCGTTAGTACGGCAGATTCTTTGACATCTGTAGACATTCAATGAAGCTGATTGGCCCTGCCTCCACGTGATTTGTAAAAAAAAAATTAAAATAAATCGTGAATTCTTTGGAAGGAGCGAGTAAAGGCTAAGTGATAGTATTCCTGTAAATTGCATCAAGGGCCTTCCTAATGTTTGCAATAAAAAAAAAGGAAGCCTTTCCCTTGGTCTGGGTGCAGAGGCGTGGGGGAGGACAAGGGAGGATTTTAATTAACTGCTTTAACAGTCCACTAAAGAAGAGATTTGCGAAAGGATACGGTGGAAGGAGAGAGAGTGAGGCCAGAAACTCCTTCCCTGGGCCAGACAGAGCAGGTCGTGAAGGCTGGCTTCTTTGCACACGGATCTAGCACTAAAGGAAGCCGAGAGCTCCTCCTCCATTCTAGCAGCCGGGCGCAAAGGGCGGGAAAAGGCCCCAGTCCCGAAGGACTACGGGGGAGAGGGGAGGAAGAGAAGGAAGTAGACTGAGGATGGAGGCGCGTTCCCGCGGGGGGGGGACACAGAAAGGGGCGGCGGCGCGCGCTCCCGTGGCCAGCGCGGCGCCTTCCGCCCCACCCCCACTCCTCCCAGCCCGTCTCGTTCTCAGTTTCCCTCAGCGCCCACGCCCGGCCCCTCCCCCTCACGTCCGCCTTCCCACCAGCCGCCGGCGGCGCGCGGAAAGTGCGTCACGTGACGGCCGGCCCCGCCTCTTCCTCTCGGTCCCATATTGAACCCGAGTTGGAGGCGGCGAGTCCGGTCTCAAAATGGAGGTAAAACAGCCGCCCGGCCGCCCCCAGCCCGACTCCGGCCGCCGTCGCCGCCGCCGGGGGGAGGAGGTATTAGGGGGAGAGTGGGGGGTTGCTGGGCTGTGGCCGGCGCGGGTGCCCCGGCTTTGGCGGGGGGAGTACTGAGGGGGCTCGGTCGGTCGGTCCCGCGCTCTGCGCTGAGGCGGTGGGGGGGAAGGGGAAGGCAGCGGGCCGCGGCGGAGCCGCCGGGCCCTTGGCCGCCGCCTCGGCCTCCTCCTCCCCCCCAGTCTCCTGAGCCGCCTCCCGCCTCCCTCCGCCTCGAAGGCTGCCCCGCAAAGCCGCGGCTCGGTGGGGGCGCCATCCGGGGGCGGAGCGGGCCTGGCCGCGATGGCTCCTGATTTTAGGCGGAGTGCGGCATGGCAGGCGGGCGGGAGGGAGGGAGAGAGCGAGCGAGCGGTTGGGAAGAGACAGTGGGGGAGGGGAGAGCCGAGGCGAGCGAGGCTGAGGAAGGAGGGAGGGAGGGGAGGGGGCGGGCAACCACATCCGGGAGAGCGGGCGGGCGGCGGCCGCCGCCACATTGACATTGATCCTCAGCTCCATGAAATGGCGCATTGGCCCGCAATGGCCGCCGCCTCCGCCGCTTCGCTGCTGCTGCTGCCTAGCGAGAGCGCGGGATTGGGGGGGAGGCGGGGAGGCGCTGGCGGGAACGGCAAGATGGAGGGGGAGGGGAGGAGGGAGAGGGAAGGCGGCGAGGGGAGGCGCTGCTGCAAAGAATCTAAATGCTTGCTGCTTTTTGCAATCACAGCGTCTCCGACACCACGTTTCTAGGCCTGAAAGAACCATTCTTCAACTGCTGGGAGAGTACTTCAGTCCGCTCCCTGTTCCTTTCTCCTCCGAGGGGTGTTGTTCCTTTAGATGTCCGGCCAGAGACTGAAACCTTTTTTTTTTCCCTCTTCCAGTTTACCTATAAAGTATTTTTCATGACCCTGAAAGTATGACTAAGACCTATTCACTAGCCACTTTTGTGAAACTTTCCCTCCCATAACTTAAAAGCGAGATGGGAGGACATAAGAAGATGGATCATGGTGTCTGCAAAGAAAGTCTGACGTGTTAAATATCCCACAGCTAGTTTTTTAAGGACTTTTGTTAACAAGACTCCTTCCATAACGTAGATTTCCCTTCCCCTCAGCAAACTATGTGTAACTGAAATTGAGAGAATAGGCTACATCAAACTAAAATTGAAGGTTATTAGTCGTTTTATGTTTCCAAGGCTTTGAATCAAATGATTTTCAGGTCCTGATTTTAAAGGCAGGTTGAATATTATGCAATCAGGAAAGCTATTGAATTTTAACTTTATTGATCTTTAAAGTTAGGATTATATGGGTTTTTTACAATGATGGCAGTTTTGTCCTTTTAAAATTTTGGACATTTTAGTTAATGATAAATTATTAGGGTGTAAATTTGGCCATCTTCATTAGGAAATAAAACTCATTTATTCAGTTTGTGGATTTGGGAAGTGACTTAAAACAGTATTGGGATATTATTTAACATAGGGCCCATCCATATATAGAGAGAGAGGTAGGTTTTTTTGGAGGGAAGCACTTAAAAAAGGCACTCTGGTACAATTGAAGGCAGTTTTTTGTGCCATCATGAAATGCCAATTTGGAACTTAAATTACAATCCATCAATTAATTGAAATGTGTATCTGGAGAAATATTTAACAGGATGTAAAATGTTTAACCTTGTATTGAAAGAATGAAAAAAAATTACTTTTAAGGATCATTCTTATTTCCTGAAAGTGTACAGAATTTAAAAAGTAGAATTGGGAAGGTTTATAAGTACAAAGTCAGATTCATAAGGCTCTCCAAAACTTCATTAATCTTAGAATTGTTATATAAAATATACTCTTCAGATTTCAAAAGTGTGAAATTTTCTTAAAGCAGTAGAATCTGGGAGAAAGTAGTCATGATTTCTTCACAACTGCTGCTGACTCCATTACCCATAAAGAGAATGATGTGAGGGCAAGGTCTTGCTCTATTGGTGTTGTGGGATAATTTTCTGTACTTTGCCTAGTAGCAAGTATTTCTAGACAGTTATTATATAAATGGAAGTCTATGGTTATATCTTCATTTTTCCCTGGAGCTTGTTTTTCTGGTCCAAAATGTAATTTCAGATGAAGAATGGTGATAATTGTAGGCTAACATTTGAAAGACAGGCTCTAAGTTTCCTGTATATCACATAGTATCTCTCAGATACAACAACTTTAGCATCCATTTTTATCCAGTTATCACCTAATGAAATAAATCATCTGGAAAGGCTGTAACAAGTTTTTGTGTCTTAGTATATAGTTATACCGCATTAATTACTGAAAGAAATAACTAGCTTATTTTGCAACTTCCTACTTCACTCAGTAGAATGGTAGTAATAATTCCTTTAAAAATCTGGTATCTAAGAAATCTGATGAGGATAAGTGAGAATTATGAACCGCTAAGTTTGTTTATTTTTCTAAGGGTCATGATCCAAAGGAACCAGAGCAGTTGAGAAAACTGTTTATTGGTGGCTTGAGCTTTGAAACTACGGATGATAGTTTAAGAGAACACTTTGAAAAATGGGGCACTCTCACAGATTGTGTGGTAAGTTGTTGAAATTTAAACACAGATACTTAAGATTGTAGGGGAAAAAAAAGATGATTTACATAGCCTAGGGCAACAAACTTAACATGTAAAATGTGTTTTATAGGTGATGAGAGATCCTCAAACGAAACGTTCCAGAGGCTTTGGCTTCGTGACTTATTCTTGTGTAGAAGAGGTAGATGCAGCAATGTGTGCTCGGCCACATAAGGTTGATGGGCGTGTAGTGGAACCAAAGAGAGCTGTTTCTAGAGAGGTATGCCAATGATTAATATGTTGCGTACCTAACATGAATCTGTTGCAGAAAATTGCATTTTACCTTTTTTTTTAATAGGATTCTGTAAAACCTGGTGCACATCTAACCGTGAAGAAAATTTTTGTTGGTGGTATTAAAGAAGATACAGAAGAATATAATTTAAGAGACTACTTTGAAAAGTATGGCAAGATCGAAACTATAGAAGTTATGGAAGATCGACAGAGTGGAAAGAAGAGAGGATTTGCTTTTGTAACTTTTGATGATCATGATACAGTTGACAAAATTGTTGGTATGTAACAATTTTGTGGATCTGGAATGAGTAGAAAGAAACATTCTAGCTTGAGTTATAAGCTGGATTTGATAAAATTGTAATGCCATATTCATATAATTGAAAGTACATACTTTTGAACATAATGTATAATAACTTCAATTTATAGCTTGTTTAAACTTGTCTTTTCCAAAGACAGAATTGTCAGTTTTTCTTATTAAATTAAAACTTTGTTCTCTTTAGTTCAGAAATATCATACTATTAATGGGCATAACTGTGAAGTGAAAAAGGCCCTTTCGAAGCAAGAGATGCAGTCTGCTGGCTCACAAAGAGGTGAGCTGGAGATAAGTGTATGTATGCATAGAGGATTTGCAAATACATTTAGACTTGCATTTTTGACCCACCTAAATTATTTTAAGGTCGTGGAGGTGGCTCAGGCAATTTTATGGGTCGAGGAGGAAACTTTGGAGGTGGTGGAGGAAACTTTGGCCGTGGAGGAAACTTTGGTGGAAGAGGTAAAATGATTTTGAATCTATTTCTAAATATACCTGCCTGATTTTGGGCTATATACATTTTTGTATTATCTTGCTTTTTTCCTAGGTGGTTATGGTGGTGGTGGTGGTGGAAGCAGAGGCAGTTATGGAGGTGGAGATGGTGGATATAATGGATTTGGTGGAGATGGTAAGGTTTTTAAACTTTTTTTCATGTTTTTATATTTGTTTTTTACTGTGTTCTTTCCATTGGAGAATGTGTTTAGCTTTTTTTTACTCTATTGTATAATTTCAATGGTGTGGTTTAGAACTTTAAGTCCAGGCCTTCCATTTTGCAGGTGGAATGTTATGACATAAGTCTTCTGGATGTTATTCATAGGATCATATTAGAACTGGAAAGGGATCTTCCAATATACTATTTACATATACATGTTACCATTAAGATTAAGTCTTGCTTATTGTACAACTATATGATCTTGACCAGACATATTTATACTATCACTAATTAGTGCCATTTAAAAACCATTAATTAGTTCAAATGTATAGGTAGTATTAATAAATAGCCTTTTCTTGTGTTTTGAGATTTTACCACCCCTCTGACTTGTGAAAACATTATTGTGCTAACAATTTGTGCCTATGTCTCCTTTGTGTCTTCACTAATATTAACTGTTCCAATTCATTCAATTGTGTGTGGTTTTTAAATTATTTTTGTTTTTTAATGAAAAATGTTCAGTAACCCACTTACGAACTAGTATAAGCATAACTTTTGTTTCTTGGAAATGTTGAAGTAGCAAATCACAAGAGTACATTTAAGCAATTTAATGACAGCATGAATTATGCTGGTTCTGCTTATATTTTTAACAAGGGCAGATACTGCTAAGTTTTGGTGTACATAGCAGACTAATAAGATAAAATTATTGGGAGGTTAGATTGCAGTATGATAGTTTTATTGTAATGTGCTTTTTAGGTATGAAAATTTAGCATACATTAAATATTTACGTTGTAGGATAGGTACTTGTTACTTAGCCCTTACAGAATTAACAGTTAAAGTTCCTTGGATTATAAAGACTTGGCAATGTAGATCTTGCATTCCTTTATGCATTTACATCTGTTCTTCATGTTTTTACTTTATTCACTTTTTTTTTAGGTGGCAACTATGGAGGTGGTCCTGGCTACAGTAGTAGAGGGGGTTATGGTGGTGGTGGTGGACCTGGATATGGAAACCAAGGTGGTGGATATGGTGGTGGTGGAGGAGGATATGATGGTTACAATGAAGGAGGAAATTTTGGTGGTGGTAAGCAATGCACATTTCTTATTTCACTTACCTGGGTAGGTTTAAGTGTGTTTAGAAACATTTATAGTTCCAGCCTTATGGGTGTTGTGTTGAAGAACAGTATCTAATTAGCATCCAATTAAACATTTTTAGGGTATGTTCAACCTTAGGAAGACTTTTCATGTTCGTAGGTTAGTAAAAATTTAATGTGAATTGATGCTAAATTGTCCTTTTACTTCTGTATGGGGTTTTTTCCTTTAGTAATGGTTGTTTGCCACAATTTTAGCTCAAATTATCAAATACTACTGTTTTAACTTTAGGTTTTTTTTTTTACTTGATTGGGGTTAATGTTCATGTCAGTGGATCTAAATGAGAAAGGGGCAGACTTGAAAACCCTGGGTAAAATAATAGCAAATAACTAAGGACTTTGACAGTACTTGGGTGGTATGTAAAAAAAATTATTCAAAAATTGAGATTTTGTTGCCCATGTTAATGTAATCTTGAACATAATTTAGGTGTATAATTGTATTTGTATGAGTTTATTCCATTTTATTACAGTTACAGTACCTGCATGAGCCTGACAGTCAACAGCATTTGAGCGCCTTCTGTGTGCAGTGCTGTATCAATGAGTTTAGAAGTTTGGCTGAGTAAGAAATAATAGCAAATCAAACAGTTGCATTAACTTTTAGGGTATAAACTTTCTGCCTAGACAATAGAAAACAGGGATAGGCAAGTTCTACCATAGTACAGGATTCTACCAAATGGTTTCTAAGTCTTAGTATATATCTTGTTCATGTATCACCTTGATTCTTGCCTCTTATTGTTTTGACATTTCTCCTCTTGCCCCATCCCTTTCCTATTTCCCTACCAATGCTTTAGGCCTGTCAGTTGGCATCCATGGGTATTGCATATTCCCATTAGTGAGGGATTTAAAGGGTTGCTAGCATCTATGGAGAATATTACTGTGATTGACAGGAGAACTTATGCATACAGTAGTTTTACAGGGGAAATGTCATGTTTGTGTTGTACAGTAGGAAAATGACTCAATCTTTATAATTTCAGGTAACTATGGTGGCAGTGGGAACTATAATGATTTTGGAAATTATAGTGGGCAGCAGCAATCAAATTATGGACCCATGAAAGGAGGCAGTTTTGGTGGAAGGAGCTCAGGCAGTCCTTATGGTGGTAAATATTATTACTTTCTTCCTTTAAGTTTTGAGATTTCAGTAATAAAGAAAAATTGACAAAATACTGTTTTCTTTTCAGGTGGTTATGGATCTGGTGGTGGAAGTGGTGGATATGGTAGCAGAAGGTTCTAAAAACTCAACAGAAGAGGGTAGGTATTCTTATATATTAATCATGATGATAAAGAATAAATGGAACTATTCACTGAGTGTAATAATTTTTTTATCCTATATTATTCAACAGGCTACAGTTCTTAGCAGGAGAGAGAGCGAGGAGTTGTCAGGAAAGCTGCAGGTTACTTTGAGACAGTCGTCCCAAATGCATTAGAGGAACTGTAAAAATCTGCCACAGAAGGAACGATGATCCATAGTCAGAAAAGTTACTGCAGCTTAAACAGGAAACCCTTCTTGTTCAGGACTGTCATAGCCACAGTTTGCAAAAAGTGCAGCTATTGATTAATGCAATGTAGTGTCAATTAGATGTACATTCCTGAGGTCTTTTATCTGTTGTAGCTTTGTCTTTTCTTTTTCTTTTCATTACATCAGGTATATTGCCCTGTAAATTGTGGTAGTGGTACCAGGAATAAAAAATTAAGGAATTTTTAACTTTTCAATATTTGTGTAGTTCAGTTTTTCTACATTTTAGTACAGAAACTTTAATGAAATGCGGTTTTGAAGGTGTTTCCTTGTTAGTTAACAAGTAGAGAAGATCATTGTTAATTACTATTTTGTATGAATTTTGCTAAAGTTAACTGTAAAGAAACACCTGCTGACTTGCAGTCTAAGGGGAATCTATTCTCCGCAAACCAAACCATAATACCCATTGATGCAAATGGGAGTTGACAAGTGGAGAGAATAGGTATTTGTATGTTTGCAATGTGTGTTTTAGATAACAACTAGGATTGGGTATTTAAATTAGTATATTTGTGAATTAATAGCATTAAGCTTTACCTTTCAAATGAAAATTTCAAATTACCTTTTGGGTTGTGCATATATATTTTTTTTAATTGTAATTCGCTATGATTTAGTGTGTTAGCTCTGCCAAGTCCTAGTTGTGTTTATTAAAAAGGTGAAAAAAAAATCCATTCTAGAGTTACCTTGGCCACCTTTGAAACTGCTGCCATAACATGATGTTGGTATAGGAGATACCTCTTCTCCTCATGAAGTTCTGGATGATGGAGGGGTGGGAGTTGGGGCAGTAGGTTTTTTCCTTTCCCTCCATTTTGAAAATTTTTTCTTAATGAATTTAAAGACACAGTCAACCACTAAGTCTGCTGTATCCAAGCAAATAGTGGATACCTGTGGGGGTTTTTTTTTAAATTTTGTGTTAATTGGTTTAGGGGGGAAAAGAGGCCCAAAGACCTTCGAATACTTAACCTTGGTTTAATGTCTTTTTAATTTATACAAGCTGTCAGAGCAAGAGAATAAAAAGCACGCATTGTGAAACACTTAAATGGCTGGCATGCTTTCCTGCTTACACCATATGCATTTTTCTGGATGAAACCAAGGATAGCCTAGATATAATCCTCTGAAACTACCTTCTTGCAGCAGCAATGTAGCACAGTTGTTTGGTACACAAGCTTTTCACTTTTGAAGACCCTGAATTCAAGTTTGATTCTAAGTAAGAATTCATTTGCACTTCAGTGCCTAGATAACATGTCATCACCACCATCATATATATCTACAACACAATATTGGTATGAGTTATCAGTTTGCTTGAAAAACACTGATGTGAAGGAGTTCCATGATCTAGGTACTTTGCCAGCACCATGTGGGATAATATCCCCACATAAAGTCTACTGTTTTGCGCCAGATGATGCTTAATGTTTCTTTAAGTACTAAATATATATGTGTCCCACTGTTGTCCTTTTCTTTGGCCGTTAAACATTTTAATCCAGAAACTTCTATTTTCTGTTCAATTAAGCACTGGGCAAAACAAGCAATAAATGGAGGGTGGGATTGGTTTTCAATGGATTTACTCATGTTGCTTTAACTTGTGCCATTGTTCAGTATTAATATGTGGATGCATGCTTTGCGAGCATGGAAAATGGGTTGCAGATGTGGCAATTTTCCAGAAGTCAAAACTCACAAACCAATAAATGTCATGAGCAGACAACACTGATTGTTAATGAGCATATGTCAATAAAGCAGGGTAGAAGAAAATAGGTAAATATGAAAATGGTTTAAGTCCTTGCCAGTTTTAAGTGCAAAGACTTACACAAGGACATACTCAATGTTGATAATTTAATCCTGGTTATTTGGTTCAAAATAAAAGCTTGCAAAATATTTTCCAACATTAGTGATAAAGATAGAATGGGTAAGGGAGAGGAATCTTAATATTTCTCTTTTCAAGTCTGAAATTTGTATCTTAAGTAATGGTGAAAGTATTTCTTAATATAAGCCATGAGGCTAATTGTACTCTTGTGTTAACTCTGGAATTAGTTTAATGATAAGAATGTCAACTATGATGAAAAAAATGTTTGCAACCTATAAGCAGGTGATTGTGACCTGTTTATAAGTTCTGTTAGCTTAGTTTTTGTGTACAGTGTGGAAAAAGTAAGCCATGAGGAAGGCGGTTTAACCAGCATTAAAGGACCTAAGATGTGCATTCTAGCACATTATGGATCAAAGGCAACTCAATAAGACAGGACTTCTGCAGCCTGTTGAGTGGACAAGTCAGCATATTTAAAGAATGACGAGGCAGCAGCAAGAGCTTCAACTTCAGAGAAGTGAAGGCATAAGATACTGTGCTGATAGTGAGCTGCTTTCCAAAGGCTAGTTAAAAACTGCGATATTCAGCTGAAATATTGAAGAAAGTCTAGCAAGAGTTCTTCGCCTTTTGGAACATCCTTGAGTGATAGCTACTTGAGTTGGCACAGTCGATAGGTCTAGCATTTAGACCTGCAAGGAAGGGCAATAAGCATTTAGGTAAGGTTTGCCTTTGAATTTTTTCACTAATTAAAGGGTAATTTTTTGTAAAGCAAGGTAAGAGTAATCTTTTTGATTTACAGGTTGAATGAAAACTACTTGCCTATATGAGGAATGCCTTCATATCACCTTAAATTCGAAGGTTTCTGGCTGGGTAAGACTTAAAACAGTGTACAGAAAAATACCTGCATATGATGTCATTTAGTTGCCCTTTCTACATGTTACATGGCCCATGCGCATTTTAAGTGTTTCATCCCTAGCCCAGTTAATGGATGCTTTTTTCCCTTCCATATATGCATCATCATTTTGAAACTAGCCATTTGCTTAATTTTGAGACCATTTTAACACAGAACCAACCTAGCGTTAGCTTTGGTTTCATGGCTTCAGTCATGTGTGACATGCTTGTACAAAAATTATTGATCAGGTTACTGGATAACAGGCAAGATAACTATTTTAATTTAATGGAGACTAAACTCATTTACATAGAATTTGAAGGTGTGCAAGACTTCCACTGCAGTCCTGTGGGGATCATCTCCATTTTACAGATGAGAAAACTGAAGCTAAGTTAGATGATTTGCCAGTGGTTAACATAGCTTTTAAGGTTTAAAGCTGGTATTTGAACATGTCAGACTAATGTCTGTTAGGAAGTTCTCTGGGGCTGAAAGGTAGTAGTAGCTTTGCTCTGCAGAATTAAAATGAAACATTGCTGCCAGTCTAGCTTTTTTAGATACAGAACTTAACTTTGCTTAAAGTTAATGGGGCCTTTTTTAAAAGCCATTTCTTGTAGAAGTGATTTTCAGGTACAGGTATATTTGATCTTACTCTCATGTACATATGTATATATATTTGATACCAATATATTTGGTATACTTATGTCAATATACTGGTACTTGGAAACCACTACTATAAAGAAATGCTTTTTTTATGTAAGGAGTTAATATCAAATATAAAGAAGCCTAGCTTGAGAGAATATTTATTATTTGAGGCATTAGAGTTTAATAAAACCTCACCTGTTTTTTTTGTTTCATTACTCACCATCTCTAAAATTAGTCTTTGAAAACAATTTAGCCTTTTTTGGGGGTCATTTATTAATCACAAATAATAGATTATATTTTCAGTACTTCAGTATATAAGTATACACTGCTCTTTTTATACTCTTTAACATTTGCTCCTACCATTTCCCACAGAGGACTGTTACTATTTCCCCTCATGTGAGGTGATAGGATTAGTTCCCAGTCTGGATGCATGTGTTCAACCATTAAACACAAATCTTACGTTTTTACAGTGTAAAATATTTTTCATCACAAATCAGATTAATATGAAAGTACTTTAAATGATGAAATTATATTGGTATGAGTAAATTTTATACATATTTTTAAACCATTCCTTTATAGAATTCTTAACAGCAAATGAAATTCAGTTCTTACCTCTCTCCTTCACCCCCTTCACTGGGCTACTTAAAATACTTCTTACTAAAGTCAAATATTCACTTTAGGAAAAATGTTAACTTTGTTCTACACTCTTCCACCTCTCCTCAAAAAGGGGTAACCTAACCCTAATCCTCCCTTTTGGGGAGTAGAACAAAACGTTTTGCTAAAAGGAAGATTTGATATTTTTAGCAAAAGGTAACTCACTTTCCTAAAGGTAATTAGATTTTCATTGTTGAGATTTGATTTTAGAACTTTATGTATACATTGTATCTTAAGGTTCCTTCCTGAAAATAAAGGGCTATATCAGAGTTAGGGAATATATTGCATTCTTTTTGAGGGTCTGAGCTAATACAATTTAGTGAATTATAGCTCATGTACAAGTCAACTGGTCATAAAAAAAATGTATAAAGTTTCAACAGGTGAGTAATTCTCTTCCAAAATAATGTACTAGAATTTATAATGCTCATTTTTGCAGTGAAAATAACACTTTTGGGGTCCATCATGTCAATAGTAAGACTTAACAGGAGCAAAGTTTCTTAAGTGATTTTAAGTGATTTATTCACTTAGTTAAGTGGTTTCATTTCATCAGGAATTTTGGTTTGCTAGGCAACATGGTAAAGGGTTCTAAATAACAGGATATGTATTCAAGCAAAATTTTTGTTTTTGAAAACTGAAAAGCAGTTAACTAAAATATTCAACTGTCAAACTTCTGGGCCTTCTTGATTATAATGAACATAAATTTAACATAAGCAAAATATCGTACACATTGAATAACTGTATTCAAAACTTTCGGGTGTTTCACTGGAAGGGGTGGGGCATTGGAATTTCTTAACTAGAGTGATTGGTGGGATCTGTAGTGCCTCCAGGGTAACAGTTGACCAAGCGATCTTGATTTATTTCTATGCAAATATCTCTATCCTTTACAAAAAAAGTGTAACAAGTTAGTCCTTGTCTGGAAACAATTTCCTGCTGACTGAGGATCCTAATTTGGCTATTTGACACCAAGTTGACAGAAAATAGCTTCAAACTATTGCAGAACTAAACGTGAACCAATGATGCAAACAGCTTTGTTTTCAAAGATGGCAATTAAGTGTTGCTGTTGCAGCAGGTGACACATTTCTAAAATGGCAGAGTTTCTGTCAGGACATTAAAAGAGGAACACTACACAAACTGCTGTTACATTTGTTTGCTACTAGGGTATTTGTAAACTGGAAGAATTTTATACACGTACTTTTCAACAAACGAAGATATTCTGGATGTTAAAAATTTAAGGGATTGATTATAATGCATTACAATGCTTGTAACTGTATACAGAACTACATTTTCATTAAAATCTTTTTGTAAAATGTGTGCAGTGTGTTCTGTGGTAACAATTCTAGGGGCAGCTAGGTGGCGCAGTGGATAGAGCACCAGCCCTGGAGTCAGGAGGACCTGAGTTTAAATGAGGCCTCGAGACACATAACACTCACTAGCTGTGTGATCCTGGGCAAGTCACATAACCCCAATTACCCTCACCAAAAAAAAAAAAACAAAACAATTCTACTTAAGGTTATCAAAATTAGAAACATTTTCAGAGCAATAACAGTGGTTAGGTATATATGGTCATAATTCAGTGGATGTTAAATACAAACAGGCAAAGTAGAAAATAACAGAAGATGCTGATAAAAGAAGGGGGGAAAAACCTTGTTTAACTCTCCAAAGACAATTGAGGGGGAAATCATAATTGATGAGAATTATTCTCTAACACAAAGATGTTAATTGACCTTAGCTGTGATAGAAATAGATGGGGTCAAATGAGCAAATAAATCAACTGGAATTTGGGTGCCATTGAAAGACTATTAGAAGGGAAGAAGAAAATTTAGTATGGGTACAAAGCATTTTGGAGAGCTTTGCTCTACTAAGTAGCAATTTTAACATGCAGAATATATTTCTGATAGTTTTAACACGTGCCAAAATGTGAGGGGAAAAGTGCTAGTAAGCTTGGGCTCCTGGTTGGGAGGGTCAGGTATGTCTTTAGGCTAGGGTTCAGATTGGGCACATAAGAACAGGATGATGGTGCAGTAGAAAGCTTTTGAGTTGGAGGTAGTGCTTCAACTTTAATTGAAGCTGTTATTTAAACTAGCTGTATATTCTTGGGCAAGTCATTTTACCTTTCGTCTATAAAATAGGGATTGCATTAGGTGGCCTAAACGTTGTATGGTCTATAGGTTTGTAGGTCCTGCCAGAGGTTGGGTTTTGCAAATTCTGCCTGCAGAAATTTGGACCGTTATGACTGGGGTTAGGAATATGCTGATAATTAGAGGTGTTCGTACAGTTAAAGAATGTGACCCACCTTGGTTATTGGCTACAAGAGCTATGTAAGGAAATAAAATTAGTTGATTCATGTAAGAATGTTCATTTCTAGCTATATAAAACTGGACTAGATGTTTCACTAAGTCTTCATTTTGTTCCTAAGATCCACTAACAAGCCACTAGAGCAGTGGTGCTCTCAGTGGACCACATAATAACTTTGTTTCCCCCAATTTCAGCATTTCCCAGTTATATATTAATCTAGTTCAGGTACACACATGTAAGGGCAGAATGACACCTGCACAAAAGAATTCAAGGTAACACATTTGGCAGAAATCCACTCCTGATATTTTAATGAATAGTGTTTCCTCATGATACCAAGTTCATCCTTCCGTTTTTAGGCAACTAGGTTGACAAGGATGAAGAGGATCCCCAAAGTATAGTATAAAGGTGGGTAATACAAAGTCAAACTTTAATGTGAAAACAAAACCAATGAAATATGAAGGTGAGAAGTTAAATTTTACTTTTTAGATTTCAGAAAGGCCCATGATAGTATTTTTGTGTTTTTAGACTGAATGATTTTTAGATGTTACTGAGATAGTGCTTAATCATTTATTGCTGGTTTAATTTTCAAGCGTTACATTCGGTATTGAGCTTGGGTTTTTCTGTGGCTTCAATTGGTTTAAAAAAAAAAACTTGTTGGAGCAGCTAAGTGGCACAGTGGCTAGAGCACTGGCCCTGAAGTCAGGAGGACCAAAGTTGAAATTCGGCCTCGGACCAAACACTTGTCACTTACTAGCTGTGTGACCCGAGGCAAGTCACTTAACCCCAATTGCCTAAAAACAAAACAAAACGAAAGTTAACGTAGTTGGTTTTAAATGTGGAGCTTCCATGCCTGTCAGGTGTAGGTACTACTGATATCCTCATCTTATAAATAAGGAAAGTCTGAATGGTGATGATGTGCACATGGTCATAAGAGGCAAGGTTGAAATCTAGGTTTTGCTTCTTTTGTACCACACTTCCTCCTATAGAACATAAAGGTAGTATGGTGTAAGAGGTACAAAACACTGAACTTGGGAGTGAAGAGGTCTAAAACAGCAAGTAAATTATGTTGCTTTAGCTTAAATTAGTATCTCATGGGAAAGAAATTCTTTAAACTTCAGGTATTTTTTTTAATTACCGTGGACACTTACCATGCAAAGTCGATCAATACACTGAAAATAAGAGGGATTTTGCCAAGAAATTCAATGTGATAATTACATGATACCAGATTGAAGACATCGAATTTATATTTCTTGGTACTTTGCTTATGGTCCCATGGCATTATAACACCTTTTTAAATTATTAAAGAAGATGTAATGAAATTACATTGTCTTTATTACTTGAGGTGTTAAATTTGTCTTTAGTACTTTGAGGGGAAGCCATGTGTTATACTTTACTGTCTTAATAGAATACTCATCACAATGCTAAGCATTTTGTAGCTATTTACGATAAGTGGAAGAAGATAACTAAAATATTCAGGGCTTCAGTATTTTCTAGAATGACATCAAGTATATATTCCTTAGGACATGAGTTGCCCTTGATGGGTCTTAAGGAGAAAAGCATGTGACATCTGCATCAACAGTTTCATAAAGGTGACAAATTACATTTATGTAGTGGCTTGTAAAATATTTTACAGTTGAAGTATTGCAAATATTACGCCCATTTTGTAAATGAGGAAAGAAGAGTCAGAGCTTATGAAGAGGATATGCAACTAGTGCCTGAAGAGAAATATAAACCCAGCTCTTATAACTTCCATGGTCCACCATACCTACCACACTACCTCATATAAAGACTTTTAGTGGTATCTTCAAAATTGTTACAGGGTTCAAGGCTGTTTTATGTCTTTATGGGAAATTTATTAAGAAGTTTAAAATGATTTAGATTTTTCTCATACTTGACTGAGGTGTGACCTGCATAATATTTGGTCAAGTAAAAACTATAGTGACCCACCAGTGTCCTAGAGATTAGGAAGGCAGATATAGTATGAGAAAGGATTATGACTAAGATTTTAAAGCCTGGCCCTAAGATTGCTTTAGATACAGGTGAGAGATAGCATTGACATGGTAGATGGGACACGAGCATTGGAAGATGGGTTCAAATCCTGTTTCTAATGTGAGTTGTGTGACCCAGGATAAGTCACATAACTTCTTGCCTCAGTTTTCTCTCTCTGAAACAAGGGGGTTGGATTTGATAGCTTTCTAAGATTCCTTCCAGCCTTAAATTTGAGATCTTGTCAGTTTTTACCTTGATTGCAATGTCTACTGCTATTATCCTAGTCCATTCAAAAACAGCATTCACAAATACTTAGATTGTGTGTATTATAAAATGCAAATCACATAATGCTTGCTATCATGTACTCCTGCAAGAAGGTTCTGCTACTAAACTATATTTGTTTTTGTCCAGAATTTTTATTTAATTAATATGAGGAAAGTAGGAAGCAATGAGGCTGTTCAGTGGATAGAGCACTGGGGCAAGTCAGAAAGACCTGTGATCAAATCTGGCCTCAGATATGCACTAGCTGTGTAAGCCTGGGCAAGACACTTAAGCTATTTGCCTTAATCCACTGGAGAAGGAAATGGCAATCTTTGCCAAGAAAACCCCGTGTGAGGTTACCATGAGTTGGACATGACCAAACAACAAAATAAAGGGAAGTAACTCCCTGATGAGGAAACCCCTTCTACCAATCCAGATCCTGAAAACGTGTGCAATTTACAATCTTGGAATTGCCTGGGACATTGAGATTTTCTCAAGGTCATACAACTGGTATGTCAGGCGCAGGACTTAAATCACCCAGATCATCCATCCATCCATCTTGGACATTTGCCATTTACCCTCCCAACTGATCATTTGGATCAGACCTCCAGAAACCATTATCCTCCGTCCCCATTCAATGAATCCATTCAACATTGGAAATACACCCTGAGACTGAAATGTCCTCTGTGGTGAGTGCACACTATCACCTAACCCATTATGTCTAGGGGGATCCACCCCATGCTTCATATATTTGCCCTGGTCTTGGAATCTGCCCTATGCATTTCTTCTTCTTTTCCAACCTGTTTTCCAATTCTCGTTCTGGGACAATTTCCCTATGGCTCTATTCTCCATTCCACACCCCAGACCAAAATACAGTTCCCTGATCACCGCTTCTGTGTTGTCTGCATCAGAATGTAAGCTCCCTGAAGGTAGGATCTGTCTTACAACTGTGTTTGTATCCCCAGCACATAGCAGATATATAGTAGAAAGGCTTTTTCATTCCTAATTCTCCAGGCTGGCTCTCAAAGCATTTTATCACTCTGCCTCCTTATTTAAATTACACAAACTAAAAGACTACAGCAACACTATTTTAAAAGCCAGCCTGATAAGATGTCACATTGTACTGAAGTGTTTAGGACGGTCAAAGCTCTTTGGTGAAAAGCATCTTTAATACTTTAGGAATAATTGGCCTTGTAAAGTCTTGCTTCATCAATAATCAGAATTTAGCTCCAGAAGAGAATTTAACCTCATCTTCCAGATTAATGTACTGAGGCTCAAAGGCTGCCTACATCCCTCCCACCCTCAACAGAAGGCCTGCTCTTAAACTCTGAGAAAGTTGAGGCCATTCTTCTTGAGTTCCCTCTTCCCAATTCTATGATTCAAATCAGGAAAACATCATCCCATGAACACCTGTACTCTAGTCTGAGGATGAATACCGAGCCCTTGGTTCCCTTCTCTTGCTTCCT